CCACGCTTCGTTCTTCATTGTTCTTTGTGAATTATCGCGTAGTTTTATACATCAATGTATCAATCAGAACATCTTAACTTCTTTGTTCAGGTATATATACAGGAGTCAGCCTGGTACCATCATCACTCGGTGTGTTGTCCGAATCAACTTGTAACCAGGGTTCTGTGTTTCGTCTTTCTTCGTCGCTGTTGGTTACGTGTGTATCTATTTCGTGCCACCTCTTAACATCATGATCAGGCTGATAAGCTGAAGTCGGAACGAGGAAACACTTCACTAATACAGTGATTTTACATCCACAAGACCGATGCAGAATTGGGGTAGAACAGGTCCTCAGGAACCCATGTTTGCCATAAAAGGCGACTTTGCTTGTCGTGAGAGGCGACTAACGGGATCGGGTGGTCAGGCTCGCTGCCTTGGTTGATGCATGCCACCGTATTACAATTGCGTAGATCGATGCTCATGATGTCATTCACTTGATTGTCTGGTCCAGACACGATTATTTACAGACCGCTGTCACATAGCATGACTATTGCTGAGTGCGGCGTTAAACAACAAAGAAAGAACGAACCAAACAGCATCAACAAATTGCTTCGTCATTTACAGGGGTGTTAACTCAGCTCACTGTTGACTTGATAGTTTATAACATGATGCCAAACACAGAAAGCTCTGCCCTAATGTCACTAGAGTGAGGGAGTAATAAATTATTGAGTATGGTTTTACGCTGTTTTCAGCAACAGGCAAGCAATATCACAGCTAGGGAAGCAAATAAATGGGCTTCGCACACTGTACTCAGGTCGGAAATCGACCCAGGGCTTACGGTGTAATGGGCGAATGTTTTGAACCACTAGGCTACCCCACCGCCTCTTAATGTCACTGGAGTAGTACTGAATGCGGCCATAATATTAATTCCACCATGGGCACAGATTCAGCAGGATGTACCTCTTGCCAATGACAACATCTTGTTAGGATGATATACATGTTTCATGCATTCTCTTTTCTATAGAGATAATTTCTCGCAAAAGTCAATATCTAGCGGGTCTCTTAATGAGACCCCTTTATTTCACCGAGGGGGTTTGATCTAGGTGAAACTGTGGTCGAAACAGTAATTGTTTTCCCTTTAGTGCAAATCTGGTATCAAAACATAATTATATATTTTAACAAAACGACCGCTTTCCTGGAGTTATGATACTGTATTCAAAACGCGTGGAATGAATATACCTAATGTTCAGAAAGAACTAGAAATCCGTGAACATGAATCCGTCAGTGGATACCATATGTATAGCAAGTGATCAACGATGGTTAGAATTCACGAATGGCCATAGAGTGGGTCGGCATAATTAGCCACACTCAATATTGAAAATGCTATCAAGTAACTAAGTATATATAACGTCATTCAATATTTACGCCATTTTGAATTAGAGCGAAACGCTGTGACGTCAAACTGTAACAAGATACTGGTTAACTCGCTAGACACGTTACATCTTTATATCGGATGGTACGGATAATGCCCTGCCATGTGATAATGCGTATATGTGTAGATATGGTGATTACTATAGGGGTCTCTGTCAGATACAATATATCTTACAACTTATTGCTTATTTAAACGTCAGATTCGTCTTGAAACCATTCGTTGTAAGATATAAGGTGTATGATAGGCATGAGTGAAGTAATCTGTTTCTAAAAAACTCTCAAAAAGCTCAATTGAAGCATCGAATCGATGCATATCATATATCTATGATTACAATCAGGAAAGTAGTTTCTCTCCCACAGGTGTGTAAGAAATGTAGACCTCTGAACAGCATGATTAGGACGTGTGACGAGGGTTCATGTACTGGTCAAGGTCAACTCCCGTATCAGCAGAGAAATACACCTTGGATGTCCCGCTCTCCTGACATTATCTGTCCTCAAGGAGGACAACCGTTCGCGACTGACAATATAATAACGGAGGGCGCAGATACATAGAGGTCAATATTACTTTTATGTTTATTCGCCTGTATGTATGCACATTTTGAAGTTACTGTGAAATTTGAAGTTGTATCCGACATATATCGAAGGACGGCACCATTTTTTCAAAAGAATATGTTCGTTGAAATTTGAAATGTATGTTTAAGAGGCGTGTTTAGTTTGTGTAATATTGGTTTAATCTTTCATCATGCAGGGTTTATATATTTATAGAACGTGTACATATAACTCACGTCATCTGTTCACTGCAAGTACAAACGTATACCAGTCATACCTACCTACATGTACCAGGACAATCTGCTTGAAGGCTATTAGCGGTTTCAATTCTATGTGAAGTGTAATGCTAAATAACCCATTCTCAAGTACATATAATGAAATAAAAATTGGGCGAATACAGATTGTAATGTAGTGCGACATGCAACCATATCACATCGACATCATTACAGTTTTCTGTATCCATGTACAATTCCTGGGGTCCTGCAACATATCTTGCTAGGATATATCAACTTCAAAACACTGCACCCGATGTATTGGTCAGGCGACATAGCCTGGTTAATAGTTACCAGCTCCATTGCTTAAAGCCCCACCCTGACTATAAATAGCCCGCAAGGTGGCGGTGTTTCAGTTTCGAACAATGACTGACAATGTAAACACAACCGAGTGTCGGGAGACGTTTTTTGAAAACCATAAGGGAACCAGATCACCATTGACCGTCAAACTTCGTATCAACTTGAATGACAAACCATGGATACAACAAATGGCTCCATATCAAGATATAAGTCAATAGATTTTCTGTAGTTTTATCATAAAAAATCTTATCGATCGTGTTTGGCGTCTGCATCAATCACAGTGGGCGGAGCTTGTTTACGGTTGCGCTATAAATAGCAAAGCACATGGTCATGTGTACATGTGACACATTCAATGCATTTGTGGTCAAAGTGAATCGTGTTGCATATTTTTTCGGCAGAACAGCAGCAGAACATCAGTTTCGGTTAATGTAACAGTAACGATATTTAAATACGAAATTGACTACGCGATTCTTTGAGTTCAATCCGAAAATTACAGATATTTGTTTAGTTTTGGTCATTTGCATTCAACAGTTAGATTTGTGCCACACAATAATCAGTTTATATTTATAAAACGTAAATTATTACAGAGATTGTTCAACTAATGTTTAGGAAGGGTCCTAATTTGAAGCACCAGAAGTTGCGCCAATATTTCTCAGCTTGACTACAATAGATGAATATGTCACGTGTATCAACATAACAATGCACATAAGCAACTGGTAAATAAGTAACGAAATATACTTGATGTTTTGACCTAGGCCTACTGAAGGCGTATCCAGATAATATTGTACTTACGATAAACGAAAACTCCAATACACATATTCCAAGACAACTTTAATTATGAATTTCCTTTTCTTTCACAGAATTTTCACACACAAAACTGAGTTTGATCATTAGATCCACACTTGTCCCATGTATTTTTTGTTCGGGGTATTTGGATACACTTCGCGCACAAGTTTTAAAATATAATCTGGGATCCCTTTCCCGTTTTGTCCACACCAATCCTTCATCTGCTGCAACGTTTATTTCCGTTTCTTCAAGTCCAAGTATCTACGATCTCTCCAAACACTCCGTTTATTTAGCTCAGTCCAGAAGCAATGTGTTCGAATCGACGAATTTCTGCAACATGGTGGCCGCACCATTCCCTAACTGCAATTGCCTGTGCCGTGTCACGCATGGTTGACAAAAGAAATGTGAACATACATATTCGGCTTCATCTGGTTCCACAATGAAATCTAGCTGTGACACTGATTCACTAATCCCAAGAATCGGCACTGAATTTATCAAAGTTTCTGTTGCACTTGCAAGGGCGGGAAGAGAGGCGCCATCTTGTCGATTCGAGTTGTGAATCGGAATGATGTCATCTTGAATTGGAACTTTCTCCACGATAAAGTCACCAATGTCATAATCGAAATTACCTAAGGCTCCCTGATTATCTCGAACAATTCTTCGTCAAATTAGGCTTCTCATGAAAATGTTTTGTTGCTCATATTGAAAACAAGCGAAATTGCAAAGTTCTTGACAGTTGTAAGCAGCAACTCGATGCGCTCATGGGGCTTAGTTGCTAGGAGATCGCGTGGTCAGAAAGGCGAAAATAAAAAGTTTTAGAAAGTAATAAAAGAAATGCCCAGAGCAATCCAAAAGTACCATGTACAGGATATTTAAAAAAAATAATATTCACGAAAACAAATCTTTTCTAAAAATGCAAAATAATTTATTAATTTATCCCAAGGTCGTAACCCTGATCACGTGGTGGGTATTAGGAAGGAATCTTTGCGATGACGCCGTGAATGAGGCCGTGTGTATTACATTGTTGAAATCAGCTGCCCAGGAATGTTGAGGCACTGACATTATGACAGATGTTCGTCATGGATGGAGAGAAAAATGTATCTGAGAGAAACATTGTTGCTTTGAGCTTCGAGACAAAACATGTGTTAATGCCGAAGTAGCCAGCGACCTGAATGTAAGCTTGATGAAAGTAATGTTGAAACCCATTTTCACGCACATGACAGAATTAATGTGAACAAATATTATGTTTCTTCATTTACACTGCTCATATGCATCACGACAAACGTATTTCGTTCTAGTCCAGAGATCTAGAACTATAATTTGTGTCTTGGATAAATCGTGGACATTCCACGGTATCATTTTATGAAGATGTGAAGACGACATGGCAGGTAGGTTTTGAAACCAAAGACGTACGCGTTTGTTGAAAAGTCTTGGAATCGTTTGGTAGATATTTATATTACAATTAAAACTTACGTCCTTGTTGTCAAATGACCCACGTGGGTGGGTGTTTACATGACGTCACCCGTTTACGCATTAACCAATGAAATGTATGTGTTATCATGACGTCATATTGACCTGTCAAATCACTTGTATAAGCTCCGCCCACTAGAGTGCGGTAGTTACTACCGCAGATGGGGCTTTAAATAGCTTTGCAGACGTCGCCTGACTATTAGTTGACAAACATTTATTCATTATATGAACGTTATCTTTATCAATGAGTCGCGATCAAAGTTCGGACTGACTCACCTTCATCAGTGCTGGCTGATAGCTGGGACGGGCAAACAGGAACCGTCTGCACGCTGTGAAAGTAGGTAACAGTTAATATCTCACAAAACTACTATTTTTTTGTTTCAAATCAAACACGAAACTGCCCTGGCGATATACGTCTCCATCTTTGAAATTCCTATTAACTTCCTTAGTTTTATCGTCCCTAACCTTGGGATGAATTCCGGGCTGTTTTCATATCATGTTATGACAGATCAACAAATATAAACATAAAATAGATTTGGCACTTCTTGTTCTATTTATTGATATGTAATTTTTTGTTGATATTCGTGAAGTTGGGACATTAATAATTGATCGGCATATAGTATTATTCACTTGAATGAAATTTCGATTTTATATTTTCAGAAAGAAATATCTTTATTAATGAAGATATTTGTATTTACAAGTATATATGCGAGGAAGAGGCTTTAAGATTGTTCACCCATCCTCCTTACCAGCATCGTGCCAGGTCCAAACGTAACAAACAATAAGTAACACCTTGTTATCTGTAACAAGTTTAATCTTCCCTGGTAATCATTTTGCAGGGTTTGTGTGTTGCAGAGGGACTACAAGACCATGGGGACGTTCGGAGGACACGCTCTACCAGGTTCCTTCTTCATCATCTTTGCGATATGGTACACCATCCAGTCCTTCCGGAGATTCTTCCAGTGTCGGGAAAATGGCGCCAGGTTTACATCCACCGTCACTTTCCCCTGCTCCTGCCTCTGCGGCAGATTCAAGAACTGGCCAGTTGAAGCCATGATCAAACTATTCTTCATCACAGTCGGATTTACCCTTGAGATCATACATGGTTTCGTCGACGGACAATTCAGAGCCATTGGCAACGGACAACACGCGACAATGTTCTTCTTCTTTGGCCTTACTGGACTCATTGATATTCTCATACACTTCAGAGCCCCGCTTCCACGTAATATTGACTACATCTCCAACGCTATGGCTTTTGGTGTTGAGGCCCTCCTGTTCAACTTCCATCTGTACGGGAGAACTCCCTTGGATGTTCTCGTGCACGTTCTGCTGCTATATGTCGTCTTGGCCAGCATAGTCTGTGTGTTTGCAGAGATGCGGTACCGGCATAACCTGCTGGCCCCACTGGGACGCTCATACCTCATGATGATGCAAGGAACATGGTTCTGGCAGGTGGGGTTCATTCTTCACCCTCCGCTCGGTGGGGCCAAGTGGAACGAGAATGATCATGGACAGCTGATGATCGCTACTATGTATTTTACTTGGCACGGCGGTTTCAATTTCATTATCATGCTTCTCATCGGTGCTGTCATTGCATGTCGCTATCGACGTCGTACTGGTCACTATAGCAACGAGCTAAACATGAAACGGCTGATACGTTCATCAGGCGAACCGAAAAGTGTCAGCCCCAGTTACGAAAGTGGATCGGAGATAGAGTTTGAAAAACCGGCCAACGCACCTTGATCAGTTGTAAAACTCAAGTATTTTGTGATAGGTACTTTTCATGCGCTGAAGTGTTCCTTCGTACCGCGAGCTGTAGCTTGAGATATCTAATTCACGATGCACAATATGTTCCGTTACAGAATTGAATATGAAACATGCTTACTAGCGCACTTAAAATAATGTATTTGTGTGTTACTGTGCTTTATGAAAGACAATAATGTGACAATTAGAGATTGCTTACGGAGTAGTCGTTGATAGCACTGGCGTTATAATCATGTTTTGTGTAGAAATAACGATATTGTGATTGAAAATAAAATCGATCTCTTTTGACGGCGAGGTTTGCTAGTTGAAATACTGATATAAATCAATCTGGTTCGATTTTCAGCGGCCACCTCCGTGGATAGAGCGTCGGCACGGAGGGTGGAAGGTCAGGGGTCCGATCCCCGGCCCCGTCATATCAAAAGACGTTAAAAGATCATTGTATTTGGTGTTAACGCTTCCTGGCGCCCGGGTGTGAAGCCCATTTCTGGTGTCCCCGCCGTGATGTTACGGGAATATTCCTAAAAGCGGCGTAAATTCAAACTCACTCACCACACTCCTGGCGCCCGGCATTAGGGGGCTAAAACAGGGACTGGTCGGTATACTGTGTAACAGTGGGGTATTCATGTTAAACTGCAGCATGGTATCTCAGTGGGCTAGCACTATAGAATCGGCATTATTCCGGACCAGCACAAGCAGCCACACAAACACACGTACATGCACATCGCTATGTCACTGCAACACTCTTGAACGCGGCGTTTAATCCCATTACACCAGCGCTTTACTTTCCAAATGAATAATAAATAGTACAACACTGCGTGTATGTCCGCATCCAAAAGTAGAAGATCGATGCCAGAGCCAATCTAAAACGGAATGCCCTTGGTGCCCTGTTCACTGTTGTGTGGCTAAGATATTGTTTTTCTACCAACCTCATATGGAGATTAGTAATTCGCACAAATAGATATTCACAAAACATTTTACATAAATGAACTGTTGACAGTGAGTTTACTTCCTGATTGCTAGACGTAGGCCCAATTTGAAACATTGATCTTTAAGACTCAGTTGAATTGGAAAAGAATTTAGTCATCAAGATATTCGTCGAAGCCATTTATGGGTGAAGCTCCTTGGGGATGTTCTGGTTTCAAGGACATCTCATAATTAGCCTGTCAATGATGAGGCGTTAACATTCCTAAAACAAAGGAACTTGCAGCGGTTTCACCTTCGTCAGTTAACAGTGCAGGACTCATGACAGGCATAAATGTGTTATCTACGAGCTGAGATGTAAGTAGCACATGCATAACCGTGTCTGCAATGTCAAGACACGTCCTCACAAGGCAGTGGTCAGTTTATGTTGTAACGGCACATCCTGCACTATCAAAATACATATAAGCGCCAAAACTATCAGCCATAATAAAACTTAAGACACATCAGCTAATTCCTCAGTATCTTCGAATATGACTATGTCCGTAACTGAGTAAGTTATGATGACATTACGCCTATATCTTGACGTGAAAGTACTCTCCTCCTTGTAGACAAGATACATTATCAACATTACGATCTCTAATTTTAATTTTCGTTATAGTGGGAGGCAGCAATAATGCCCCCCATGCACTTGTAACTAAGATTAAGACCAAACACAATGCATACATGTATATATGAGTTATGACATTCAGATATAATGACAAGTGAAGGACTGTCAACCTGTCAACATTTATTTTAAGAACTGACTCCAATATTATTTTCGTTTTTGGAGGTAAACATGAAAAACAGTGTTCACACTTTGCATAAATCCGTAAACACATGTGTGAAGAAATATTAACTCGTTATTAACGTTTGTACCCCCATAAACGCCAACGCGTATTGAATAAAAGCGACAGAACCCCTTCATTATTAATTAGATATATCTGCTTTAAAGAAGAGTCGATTGTGCAATTCCGACTATATTGTGTCTATGAATCACTACAAAATAGTTATGATACCAGGTGTTCGCGAAACAGAGAGCGTACCCTGCCCCACCGGTGGTGCCCGTCACAAACACATACAAAGGCAGGTCAACCGTTCATCTAAATCAATCACAGGAGAACACATGGCACGGGTCAAAATAGTTAATTGCATTGGACATATTGTTTGTCACTGATGCGTCATATTTAGAAGCATCCTCCACAGATAGATAGATAGATATTCTTTCCTCCAGATATTGAAGATACATATCATTTATGATATTATGTACAATTACAGAGCTGTTCAGTAGTACAATTTAACAATATTATGAGAAATGATAACTACAAAATGCATGACAATCAAACATTCTTATAACTGTTTTGTAACAGATACAGCCATTTCCTACAGTAACTTGACACAATAACCATAAGGTCACCCCATAGACTTTGAGATAAAGAGCTAACACACTCAGGCAAACCGCCAAGTAGTACAGACAGGATTATATCATCATCCTCACTACATAGTCTTGCAAATGTAGAGACATCTATCACATCACACATGATTTCAAATAGTTCAGTTCTGTCATTCATATTCAATGTACAATACAAAAAGACATGCTTAATAATATCATGAGCTACAATTCTACATCGACATTCCCTAGATTCTATATTTAGGCATCCCAGCCGTACAAGATGAGACAGGTTTGGGAACTGTTCAGGACGTTCAAGTGCAAGCAGCCAGAGTCTGTGTTCTTTATCATTACGTAGCGAAACATATCTATTTAAGTTAAGTCTAGATAGCAGCTTAGAGCATACAGCTTCCTGGTCTGCAAAAATAATCCTTTCCTTAACAATATCAGACCATGCCTTTTTACTTGGGAAGCTACATTTGATTAGATAATCTTCTATTTCTGCATAGAGATTGTATGTTTTGACAAGTCTAAGCATGTTATATACAGGTGACAAAGCACATCGTTTTCTGAAGTTATCCAACTTTATTTCGTATCTAAACTGCCCAAGGCGAGTAATGAATACCTTTTTAAAAACATAGCTGTAACTGGACCGGCATAGTTTTCCAAGTAGTAACAGTGACTGTTTTTCAATAAAGGATTGGAGAGATATCAAGCCCATGTTGTCCACAGCAACAGTACCTGATGTACATTTTGAAAGGCCCTGTATTTTTCTACTGAAATAACGTTGAATAACTTCCAGCATATCGTATTCTTTGAGGGTAAATAGTCCCAAGACAAAATAGTGAATTGCATTGGACATATTGTTTGTCACTGATGCGTCATATTTAGAAAAAAGCATCCTCCACATGTCTGCCGTAAGACGTTTTGAAAGCTTGAGGCCTCTATTGTTTTAACCCTGATCAAAGAACTCTATTTAGAAGAATTGTATGACGCTCTATGGAATCTTCGTAAAATGAGCATGCTCGATTGAACCTCAGAAAATGTGAAATGTAGAAATACAGTCAATATAGTCTTGTGGATATGTTTTCGTCAGTCTGAATTTGTATGCACAGATCTAAAGATGATCTCTGGTTTCTGGTCTCGGAATGTTACCAGATAACAAAACATAAAATATAAATGGTCCCTGTTTACCGAAGCCTCGCGGAAATCTTCATATAAGCAATAAAAACGACCGTAAGATTTAGAAAAGGAAGCTTTGTAAAATAAATACATTGTCCATGGTAGAATACCCTTTACGGAAACCACCTTGGCATGTATTCATAAACTCGCCAAAATTTTTCAAACGATTGTTTTGTACAGGTGTGAATGTCTTCCCACAAACGTCTATAAGGCATTTTCCACGATAATAATTGACATCATGTGTGATGGTTAATGAATGTTCATTGACCACTGATCTTGGAAAAAATACACGATGACTTAAAAATACTTTTGAATAATACAAGTAAATAAGATCAATGAGTCTCACTTTTATATTTGAACATTTGCGGCACACTATCAGGACCAGAACTTATAAGTTAAAAATAACTTTTCAATCTCTTCCAAACTGATGTCTCTGTTTAACAACTTTTTACAGTCATCAACATTACAAACATCACAGTTGTGTGATCCCTCATGGTGATAACTATTATAGTCATTCACGACAGTATCTTGAATGTTTAAAACAGATCTAAAGTATATTGAGCCAATGAAGCACGATCGATTGAAATTAACTTGATTGGTCTTTCACAGGAGTTTGGATGAAATACCAACATGAAATGAGCATTTTTGTCATACTCATCAACAAATATGAACACAATGCATGCGGCATCTATTTGATAGTAAAGTACCGCGAGAGGGGTGTTTGTATTGTTCTACACAATTAAAAGAAAGTGTTTGCGTCCATCTCTGCAATGTGACCGATCAAGAAGGTGGAGAAGATTCCAGGGTGAACAAGTGGTACTTCTTAAATCGCGTGCCGTTAGACGTCTTGACTGTGCGATCGCCTGATCACATAGTTTTATTTATGCTCAAGATCCACTGTAACACTGGTCAAGACGCCCTTTTACCATAACGTCCACAACATGGACACTTTCTTCGAAATGAAATTTTGGTTATGTATTAAAACAGTAGACTTGAAACAACCTAAAGCAAACAATCCAAGTGTTATACCATGTTCAGGGAGCTAAAACACAGAGTTCAGAACAGCTTGTTACAGTTTGGACAGCAACCATCAGACCACACGTTTGCCTTGGTTCAGAGTTATGTCCCTTAAACACTTTACGTTTTGACCTTCACCTTTATTCGCCACATGAGCTACTTTGGTTGTTTGCTGTTTAACGCCAGACAATGTCGCCACGCAAATGGGATGAAAGGCAGTCAACCATGTCACCGATCCTAACCACCCAATCCATTTAGTAGCCTCTTACGACAAACATATGTTGCTGAGGGCCTATATTCTTATAATACCCATTATCCCCACGGGTGCAGGACATGCTCATCTGTTGCAGAGACATGATTCCGTCATTGTGACTGGTGTTTCCTACATGTATGTGGAATGGAAAGTTATTCACGTTTTCAATTAGTTAACAACATTAATCAAGATATATTAAAAACAACGCTGTGGAGCTTATGTCTGCAAAGTCGTGGAAAGTACCTTCACGCGGAATGTCACAGTGTCCGGAGCCCTTAAAGAAGAAAATCGTAAAGGTCACTTAAGATATATCTGTCGTGTCTTGTGTTTTTAAAATGAATCGTTCCCAACGCAAGTGTGAAGCCCCGTGAGAGACATTTCGCTTTGTTAGGGTTGCTCTATTGTGAAGACGTAACAGAGGGGAGACATACCGACTACAAACACATCAATGTTCTGTTCAGACGCTTTGTTAGGGTTGCTCTATTGTGA